CAAAGGCAAGAGTACAATATCAGTCTTTATTCTGTTGCTTATCTGCTCTTTCAAGGCATGGAAAAACAAACTTTATGGGCAAAAAGACTCAACAAAACAAAACTAGGGGTTAGAATTAGACCATCAACATTTAAGCAAGGCCACTGGTTGTCCAGACATAAAAAAAAGAAAAAGAAAAAAAAATAAATCTAAGTTTTGGTGACAAAATGTTTGAATTATCAGCTGGCACACATTTATGGTACTGCTGTCATTATCCAAATCAATTTCATTTGCCAAAGTAGTCCACACAAACGCGTAAAAATAATTAAGCTATATGGTACTGGGAGTTACAGTAAGAGTAAAGCATATTGTGTATTGTTATTAGTACCACCCACTGTATTGAAGATGTAGTGCATTTTTTTCAGGTTGATTTAAATAAATGTCCCATGGCCTTTTAGAGAAATTGAAGCACAAAGTGAGGAATCGTTTCAATCCTGGGAAAAGGCTAAGGTAAATAAAAAAAAGAGACTATAGACAATACTTGGAATTCCCAACTGTAAAAGTCAGCCTGGTAAATGCTAATTTTTTTCATTAAAGAGACAGCCTGGGGAAAATGAGACCTTGACATTGTGGCAAAAGCATGCCACATTCTTTATCCCAATAAACACTCATTATTTAAGCCAAGAGTCCAACCAAAGTAAGATGCATAAAAACCCCTTTAATTTCCTGAAGTTTAAATCAGTGTAACATGGTTAATTGGGCAGTATACATAAAGCCTTCCTTAAAGGTCACAGCTACAACCTTTTGATCGAAATGATTAACGTGTCAAAAATAGTACATCAACAAAACATTAAGAGTGCTGCAAAAATAAAAGCATTAACTTTCATTTAAAATATACATTCATTTAATACACACATTGACTTAAGGAAACAAAGAGAGTCAGAAGGAATGCAGAGGTTGGTGCGTCTTTTCTGAAATTTTAAGACGAATGTTTGGTTTTGTTACAGTAGCATTAAAATTAGCATTAGCGATAGCTTGTAACTGGCTTGCAAATATTACACAAGAGCGGGAAAGTGCTCCATTTACTAAACTTGTAGCAATATCCTTTAAAAAAATTTCTAAAATATATAAATATTGATGTTGTACAAACACATAATATATAACTTTAAAGATTCAAAGCATTCTAGAGTTTAAATTGTTTTCCTGGATTCTACAGTGTAAACATATTTTAATGTTCAATGTAAGGTGACACAATATTGGGTTAATTAGAGCGCCATGATGTGGTTCTTCAATAAAGTCCCTTCAGCTGTAACACTTAACAGACATGTCGTGCTAAGCTGTTACAAGGATTCACTATTTTCGCGCCACTAGTGCAGAACAGCTGAAGAAGGGAGGGTAACATGGTCAGCTTCCCTAGGCCCTTCAACCATTACGTTACATTCAAGAATGTATTTTAAAAATATGCCTGTTCGTAGGGGAAAATATGAAACCAATATATTTATTACATAATGAGTTTTTATATTTTTTTTAAGGTGTATAAATAAACTAAAGCAATATTGCTTTTGTTTATAATTTTAGGTCATCAGAGATCAGAATTAGATTTTTTTAGAAAACAAAATAATTTCCTAGGATAACAGAGAGACTTCCTTAACTAAACCTCCAAAAGGGAGCCACCTCTAACAGAAACAACTTCTACATCAAATGCAGTTTCTTAATGTAATAAATTGTGAAAACGTGTAGGGAGCAGTAGCGGCTGCCATGCTATTCTTGTCTGATCTCTGGTGTGGTAATTGAGGCCATGTGTCTGACAATAGGAAACTCACATCAAATCCCTTAGAAAGGAACAAAGTGCTATTAATCACCAGGGCAAGGCGTCATGACCAACAGCACAAACCCTCCACCACCACTACACACAACACATCCACTGACTGACCACGGTTAATGAGCTATGGCTGAGTCTACACAAACTTGACTTCCACAGGAATTTGTCTCTCCCTATATATTTTTGTGTGTGCTTTTCAGGTTTGTGGATCATTAGGAAACAAATGATGTGAATCTTAATTTAAATTTAGAGAACAGAGTTTATTCATATATTTTTTTTGCATTTATCAACCACGGTCTGATGCATGTTTTTACTCAGTTATTTCTAATAATGACATTGATAAGTATAGAACTTGACCATAAATTTAACACACTTCCCTTCAAACAGCCTTCGTTCTAATATATATATATATATATATATATATATATATATATATAAATGCAGACCAACACCAAAAAGGAGTGGACACATCTGTGAACCAATCAGCAAGAATTCAGGCAAAGATCAGCCTGACTTCCCCATGAATATGGTGGCAGGAAGCTGCAGTCAGGCACATCTTGTATTTGGAGCAAAGGGTGGGGACATGGATCATCAAACTCTCCAGTGAGCTCATTACTCCCTGCAAAAGGGCAGGATGTTTCCAAGATGGTGGGAAGAGATTAAGAAAGATGACTCGAATTTCAAGTTTTTGCCAATGGAATCAATTTTGTGTTCCTTGAAACAGATGGTCCTGGGCCAAGCTGAAATATTTACCCACTTCGATTAAATCGCCTCACAGCCCAGTGTAATCACACTGCTCCCATTTGAAAGGACAAATAAGGAATTTTTGATAGATTTTTGTGAAAAAAAAAAAAAAAAAAAAAACATGTAGACAAGCAGACACTCAGACTCAAACAAAAAATAAAATCAGTATATATTCCTATAGATGCAGTATCATAACCCAAACATTTTTATTCATTTTCTAAAAATTGTTTGACTTGGTAGAATGAGAGCATGTTCTTTTAACAAACCATCCTTTATCTGAAGGTGATCAATTTTCTACAGAAAACAGGTTTGTACATAAATTGCTGGCAAACAAACATAGAATGTTTGACTGTTTGTGTGATTTGATTTATTTCATTCATTGAGACCAGACTTGGACATTTAACAGCAAACATGTCACATCTGTCTGCTTAGATGCCCTGGACTGGGCGGCAGTAGTCAGCGGAATCTCCTATTATTAACCCTGCAGAAAGTACATTCAATTATAAAAACAGATTTGAATAGGCTCCTTTTTAATTTGAAAATCTACATTTGTTTTTAAAGCACTATCAGTGGTTTCTCTGTTTGGCTAGCTGCTGTAGCACAGGTGCATGTGTCATGATATTGGGAAATGGTAACAAGAAAAACATACATAATGTAGTTTTGTACTTGTATGTAAGGGGTGAACATTGCATCATCATAGCAATAATAGCACAATATTAATATTGCAAAGGACCTCCTAAAATACACTATTTGTTGTTTTGGTGTTTCCCGTTTTCAAGCAATTTTTAGAGTTCTGGAAAATATTTAACCTGGATGTATCTAAAATAACAATGTCCTGGAAACTGAAGATTATGAAGAGAAGCCAAAACAAAACTATGTTATTTAACAGTATTTTATCAGTAAAGGTGCTTTATTTGTCATGATTTACACAGGCTATATACCACAGAATTTTATAGATTGTGCTCGTTGCGACTGAGCATGCCACCACTAACGGCTGACCAGACCATACCAGCATGTCTTTCATGGTAGGGGAAACCAGGGATCCCGTAGGAAACCTACGCACAACATGTAAACGTCCCTGCGGAGACTATGATGTCAACCGAAGACCTTCTTGCTGTGCAAACAAATGTGTGAACAAATGTCTCTGTTATTCCTAGTAGAATAAAGCTTTAATAACCATGTCAGTCTAAACATGCAGTAAAAATGAATTTGATTTAATATTTTTGCCAGCATATTACCAGCATATAAAGTTCCTGTTGTCAGTATGACCTTGTTAAATTATTAAAAACTGTTACTTGGAGTTGATTATAAAATATAGTTTTAGAATATTTAACCTTATTTATTGTTGTACTAATAGCACTAACTCTGATTGCTCTGACTGATCATCAGAATCACCGTGGACCTTTGGTTAAAAGTTAACACATGGTTAACCAAGAATGAATATTTTTATACCTACGAAAGAAGCTGTTGACAAAACACCATGTTTTTAGATGGCCCGGAAAGTATTAGTAATGTAATTTTGTCAATAGGTAAGCTTACTAATATTTTAAAATTCCTTGGGTAAAACAAAGACTGTTTTTGGTCAGACTAAGCTAAACAATCAACAATGATACAAACTGAATTTCATAGACGGTATGAAAATAACAGTGGTGAAAAACGCCAACAGATAATGGCTACACAAATTTCTGCTGTGACTTACTGAATAAAAAAAATATAAATAACTACCAGCAGGAAGCAGATGAATGGCTGACATGTACTAACAATTCAAGGAAAGCTTAGATAGTGGCTCTTTTGATTGTTTGCCATTTAGTGTGACTACTTGAGCTGTAATAGTGCAGATTTTACCTCAAAGAAACACTGATCAATGACCACAATGTGGCATTGCACTGTCGTGTGTCACAGCAAACCACACAAACATGTTTTGATCTTCCGTGATAAAAGAACTGCTGACAAGCACAGAGCTGTTGCCTACAGTACATAGATAAATCGTTACGTTAAACAAGGCACAGTTAGCAGAACTTCAAGCATGAAAGTAGACAAAAAAGTTGGACTCTGATCAGTAGAGTAGGTTGTCTGCTCGGCTACTATATGCTTTCAAAAGGCTATTTTAAAACTAAAAATAGTTGCTGTATCAAACAACGAAAATACACCATTTTCTGGTAAGGTCAAAAGCTTTAGGTTGTTAAAGAACATTGTTGAGCCAAACAAAGTATGCATAGATTGAAGGGCTTCATAAGGTAAGTCGTAAATAAAATTTACTGTCGTCTGAAAGACACGATTATTCAAGAAGTGAAAAATTGTTCCGGATATTTTCAAATGTGGACAAATTTAAGTCAGAATCAACACCATTTAATTACAAAGCAGAAGCTTAGCACACCAGCTCTTTTATTTCTTTTAAAGCATATATTGTATCAAAATCAAATGACGTACACAGTGTGTAAGTTTAATGTCCTACCTTTGCTGATGTCCTGGTACTCCAGCCACAGCTGTCTCTGGACTTGTTTGTTGGGGTACCAGATGGTACAGGACTCCTGGAAGCCATAAACTGCCTCCTGTACATAGTGGTTCCCGAACTCCCTCAGGATCGAGACAAAGTCGCTGCGCTGCGTTGCCCCGTCTAGAGAATGGATTGCAGAGCTAAAAGCTGGGAAGATAGAAAGCAGATGATGGCATTACTGTTGTGGCATTATTAATTAGTTAGTACTAAGTGCCATTTCAATCTGAAAAAAACTCACACAAAGAGAAAAGACAATTAGGATACATTTATTGATACAATTACTTTGTCTTTGGCGCTCAGAACTCAGCAGGAAACATAGCAGTTAATTTTGATAGATATGCATGAACAGGAGCAAAGAATAGGGCTGTGCCCCCCCAGGCCTGAAACTGGTGGTGGAGTGGAAATAGATGAAGTTGGTCAGTCTGTAGACCTTTGGTTAGGGAGACGGTATGCTGAGCTTTTGGGGAGATCCAGTGGACTGCGTGAGCTGATACTAGAGCTTCACTCAGGGATCTAGAAGACGGAAGTCCAGTTGGATAACCCAGGTTGAGAGAACCTGTTCATGATGAGCAAGAATAAAGCGACAGTGAAGAGAAAAAACTCCCCGTTGGAAAGAAACCTCTGGCAGAACCAGGCGAAACATGGCGGTCTTCTGCCGGACCGGTTGAGATAAGACAGGGAACAGAGTAAGTGTCCCGGAGGAATGACACTCTGATGAAGCTTTAGCTATGAAGGTGGAGGAGGGGCTGGAAGTGGGTTGAAACGGTGTCACCTGAATGAAGTCACAGCGCATCCGTCGCCTGCGCACAGGAGCAGACAGGTGTGTATCGGAGGCCTTTTAAAGATGAGCTTTGGGTGCCGATTGGCTATCGTGGAGGCGTTGTTCAAAGCTGATTGGCTGTGTCGCGGATGGGTGTATGGTGTATGGTTTCTTCAGTTGAACTTCCGCCTAGGCTCCATTTTAAATAGCACTTGGAGATTATATCAATTTATAATATATTTGTTTATATGAAAGTATAATGAATAATTTATATTGACGAAAAGATATTTCCCTTATAATCACATGCTAATTTTAAAGTAGATAAGCAGGACAAGTAAAGAAATTATCTTCCCAAAAATAATTTAAGTAATTTACTGACAGACAATGAGGTACAAGATTTTAATCTAAATTGATTCTCCTTTCAAGTAATGTTAAGATGGATAGAGCATACCTGGTACTTCATACAGATTAACTACCTAAAAGCTCAAGTATCTAAACAGAGGGAGTAAAATAATAATAATAAAAAAAAAAATCTGCTCCATTAGTCGGAGGTTGTGTGCTCAGTCGATTTCCCTTCCCATGGTTAACACATGACCATGCTTTTACACATGTAAAACACCTGGTCATTGAATAAGTGGATAAAAAAGGGAGAATCTATGTAGATGCATGAAGTCAACCACCAAGGACATTTGTAATGAACATAGATTAAACAGACCTTAGCATCAGCAGCAATGCAGAAGACGGAATTAATGACATTAAATCCTTAAAAACGACTCTGTGTCTCAGAATACAAGTTACTTGGATAATATTTACAGGTAGATTGTGGGGCAACTTTCCTCTCTGTGATATAGTTTTCAAAACCTTTTCTGAATAAATAACTTAACTAAATAAATGATTATCCAAATGTCTTTAAAAACAACTGATATATATCGCATCTCTTTCTAAAGACTAAGTAAGAAATTTAAAACATTTTCATTTCATGCAGCTGGACAATTACAGAGATGTATGAAAAGATTCATTGATTAATACTGTGTTTAAACAAGCTTTTAATCAGCTGATGAAAAGTTGAAAAACTATATTCTTGAATAGCCAAAATCTGCACAAAAATCTGATCTACTTGTTATTTTATGTCAAGTATTTATGCTGCATGACCTCCTGAAAGCAAAGGCGCAAAACACTTTCCATCTTTAAATGTGTCAAGAGAGTTGAGCTGCACAAGAAAGGCCTCTTGCGATGACCCATTTCTGCCAAGGTTGGATTCAGTAAGACAGTCATTTTGAAATTATTATAGATCCTGAGGGTTATGGCACAAAAAAGTCAAGTGGTAGACTAAAAAAAAATGTCACCTGTTCTGAGTCAGAGAATCCGGTAAGCACTCTGGGAAGACTGACTTTCTTGGTGCTGACAGTAGCACAATAACCAGAAAATGGATAGGAAAACAACACGAGCCTTCAAGGGCCACATCCCTTATCATGCTGAAAACTTGCAGCTTTTGAGTGTATAATTTAAAAACAAACATGGACATTCAAAAGTAGAAGAAAATGTTATTCTCTGACAACAAATTTCTTTTGGATGCTTCTGATGGATTTCAAAGTAACAGCTACAACAGGTAGATCTTACTAGTTTTTTTTAGCACAGCGCAGTTAGTAAAGACCCTTGGTTGATGTGTATCGATTTTTCCGTTAATGCACCAACAGTATGGAGCTTTAGGTTGTGCAGAAAGGTCAAAGCAAAACTGGCTATATCATATGTTGCAGCATGTCTTTCCTGGATAGAAGGCCCTTATCCATGGGCTCATCACTAGGTTAACAACAGGGAAATTGTTCAACTTGTAATGCATTTTTTTAAAAAGAGCTCTTTAACAGAATAATCTGGAAACCTCTATTCTGGACCATCCTACATATACACTTAATTTAAATCCAATTAGAAAATATTTAGAGGTGGATGATGGGGAATTTACAAAAAATATCATTTAGAGTAAGACATGAAAACCAGTAATTTTTCTACCTAATTTAATTTTTTTTTTATGTGGAGTCTATTGGATTAAAACATTAATTAACTTTTTTTGTCCTCTAACATATCTCTGCATTTGATATTTAAAAGAACAAACAAACCATTTTTTCTATAATTGTTGGGGAGACTTTTTTAAAAATCTGTATGTTTTTGAATGTCCTTTGGAATGGGATTATTTGTCACGATCCTTTAGCAAAGTCATCTGAGCAAACATCTGGCTGCATCTGAAGAGACTCTGCTTTGACCCGTAGGCATCAAGGAATTTGGAAACTCATGTTAGTCTTTCTTCCCCATTCAGGTGGTGTTACAACGGACTGAACGCTCTGATTCTCACATTTTGATATTTACAGCACTAATCACTGAAACTATCACAGGCTTAGAAATATACATTGTCAAAGACTCCTCACATGGTTGAAATTAATTAAATGCTGCGATCAGACAAACAGTGCAGCATGAAAAGCAGCAGTAAAGTAGCAGGAATTCAAAACAGCTCTTCCCAGACAAATGCCAGCCGAATGGTAGCCAACTTCCAGCCACTGGAGTGACCCCCTCCTTCTCCTGGGCGTGCATATTTTTGTACTCTGACTCCACCCTTTCACTGAATTACAGTGCCTGACCAGGAGATGACGCCTCTCTTTAGAGCTTAAAGTCCACAAACAAATCATGACAGAAAGAAAATTTTAGTATAAAGAACGATGTTTAAAAAAAGGAATCTTAGGGGACCAGCCGAGGACCCATCAAGAAAAGTGGGGAAATTTTGAATGGCTACTACTGAACATGACTGCTGATGTGCTTTTAAGATAACAAATGGTTTGTGGTTGTATTTTTAACATACTGATTACAGTATACATGATTTCCAAACAATTCAAGAAAAAAAAAAGATTTTTCTTCTATGCTATTAGGAAAACAAAAGCCCTCATATGATAACGTGATTTGACCGGAAGTGAAAATGTACATAATCTTCTAAACTTTTTTAATAGACAGTAATTATTAAATCAGATAAAGGGAGACAAATTTAGAAGTTTAGATATTTACACCAACAATTTGTTATTAGTGTTCTAAATTCCCCCCTTTAATCCACTTTGTCTCACTTCAGCAACTACAAAAAGGTATTTATCATCAGAGCAGCACCTGAAAGCTGATGTTAGGTGTTTGACACCAAGCGTCTTACATGGAATTAGGTGGACATCTGAGTCATCTGCTTACTATTCATGAACTCTTTCAAGCAAAGAGTGAGGATTATCCACACTGTCCACTCATGGATATGAGCGAACTTTGCTTCTTGTAAGAGGAAATAAAAAAAAAAAAAGCAAAGGGAGTCATACATTTGACTCTTTTCAAAGCTAAAGCTGTTTCAGGAGCACTGCCTAGATCACAACTTGGTTTTAGAATATATCCAAAACTGAGAAAACTATTAAATTAAATCTCACATGGACTGAAAATACGATGTAGGATCTAGTACAATGCAAGTTAAGTATTCTTTAAGCTTTTAAATAATCAACAAGCTTAAAAAAGCAAGTAGATGCTTCGATTTGTGGCAGTTGGATTCTTTTTTGTATTGAAGTTTTATCTTTCATCTGAATTATTTCTCTCCTGGGATTTAAGCCTTGATTGTGGAATATATTAAGACAAGAAGGATTTATCTATATCAGCCCTTGTGGAGACAGGGACTTCATGTCAGGGTTGGGTGGAAGTTGGTTGAGGACCCAAATGCAGAGATGAAGATGCAGAAATGAGTAGTGGCAGATTTATTGGATGTACAGTAGATGGCAACAGAAACACAAATCCATGAACAATAAACAACTAATCGAACCAGGAGACATCAGGGAAAAACACACATGAGGATCAAAGCAATGAAGATAAACTAGCACTGAGGAACGGCTCAGGAAGATTGTTTATCGGAGACAGAACAAAGACTTGGGTATTCAGCTGATAGGGAGCAGGTGTGGATACAAACAATTAGAAGCTGGAGACTGGCACAAGAGGGCAACAGAGAGCAACACACAAAAAAACAAAAAACAAAAAAAAAACTGCTTAAATACAACTATAAAACAACTACAATGTCACAAAACAAAAAAAGAAACAATTACCAAGAAAACACAGAATAACATAAATAAAAATGTAAATGAAAACTTAAACAGAACAAAAAAGTCCACAAAGGGCAGGATCATGACACTTCAGATAAAAAATACTTTGCAAACCAGACTTAAAAATCTGTTTTCAGAATCCATAATTAATTCAGATAATTCGAAATGAAAACCATTTAAAAATAAACATATGGAGAAAATTTAATGTATCTCTTGTTGAATGAATGAAAAACCCACAATGCTTACAGAAATAACTTTAATCTAACAACAAATACATAGCAGTTTTA